GAAGATTGTGAACTAGCAATTGGTGACCCTCTTTGTGGGGATTCAAAAGTTGCAACATCTTCAACTTGTGGACTTTCCGATTCTTCATTGAAGGCAATGCTTTGATCTTGGACTTTCTTTTCCTTCCAATCAAAAGACGCCTTCTCATCAAAGAGAACATCTCTACAAATAATCACCTTCTTTTAACCCACATCCAAACAAAGGCTAAATAATAACAAAAAAACAAAACAGGCTAATTTAAATAGTAAGATAAAATGTTACACTCAAATCATAATCATTTCATTTTTTCTCTCACAATAATCACATTCAAACCAAAAAAAGTCCAAAGTTCTTCCAAAACAGAGCTTTGTCATAGCGAGGATAATAACTAAAAAGTCAGGAAAAATTAAAAAAAAAAAAAAAGAAGATTTTTAATAACAAAATTTGAAAATGTCACTAATGAAATACAACCAAAAATTTTGATCTCAAAATTATAATGAAGCATCACTAATGTTCAAATTTCGTCGCTAAAAATACAATGATGACACTTTCACTAATAAAAATATTTTATCCCTAAAAACTAATTCTCACTATATTTTTGTCTTTCAAATCTTGTAGTGATTATCACCTCCACCATCATCACTATCACTATTGCCACCACTACAAACTCCACCACCTTTACCACTCCACCAACATTAACTATCACCATCAGCCTATCAATTCTCTCACTAATACAATTAGTAGCATACTAATTTTTAACAAAAATTAAATATAAGAAAATTATTATTTTTAAATAATTTGATATTTAAGGTTCTTTTATTGATAAAATATTTTTTGGGGAAATAAACGGATGATTAAAAAAGAAAGGGAGATGTCTCTCGCAATCCTTTGATTATTGACTATAAATAATTTTTTTGCAATAAAATTTTTACATTTAGAAATGAAAGAGTTTGATTCTTAAAATTCTTATATATTGTATTGGGAATACAATGCAGTGTATCCATTTCTATGTAGACTCTTATATTTGGACATGTTTAGATTAATAATTTTTATTTCACAAATTTTTTCTCAAATTTTTTACCAAACACAACTTTAAATCCAGTGTCCCTACAGCTGCTATAGGAGTAGAAATTCCGTCTCTGTTGAATTTTTGTAATCACTTGAACTTGAACTTGAACCTGAACCACAAGTAGAAATATAATTCATATGGGCCTCTTGATTGGCCTAATTTGGGAATATAGTTAAAAACTAAATTTTAACTTTTAACATATTTTGAGTCATATCAATTTTTTATTTTTTTACATATTTAAAAAAAATCAAAGAAAGCCAAAAATAAACTAATTTTTAACCAATTTCTCAAAACAATCCTCAATGACTGCTTTTCAGTGGTAGGAATTGATTTTAATGTTGACAGCTTTTCAGCCAGAGACTCCTAGGTTCTCTTCATTTGGTAAACAGGGGTGGAAGAAAAAGTCATTGGTGTGTGTATGGATTCTGCAATCATGTTCGGGAGTTCTAATAAAGTTCTAATAGTAAGTCCTATATGATGATGTAATATTTTGGCTTGATATTTATTTATTTGACACATTACTAGAGCTCATATTAGAGCTCTAATTTTAGAATTCTCTATCACTATCCATAGATTTTGTGTTCGGTTCTTTCTGTCCACGTAACACAACTGTGGGTGGAAAGTTTCTCTTCATTAGGCACGATGGGTGGAAAGGTTGACTTGATGTGGGCTTGTAGAAAGTCTGTGAAATTAGGCACAGAGAGGGAAGAAATTATTGAGTGTTTTAGAACTTCAGGTGATTTGTGTATCTCCTCATTTAGCACATAATCTAGTCCTTTTTTTGGGAGGTGGGTTAGGCTAAAATAGTTTATTAAAATACAAAACATATTAAAATAGCTAATAAGATAAAATGTCACATCTAATCAATAATTATTTTATTTTTTCTCTCAAAATCATCAAATCAACTATAAAAAAAAGAAAAAAAAAAAGAAAAACCAATCAACTTCTCAAACACAACTATTTTAGCCAAATTAAAATAACTAAAAAAACTAAATAGCTAACTTCCTAAATAAAGCCAATATTATCAATTCGTCGAACCACCAACTACTCACAATGATCTTGGTTTTGAACCATCCAATAACTTTTTACAATCTTGGGGTGGATTGTTGGTGTTTTTTCTTTGACATTTTTTATGTCCTTTTTTTTTCTTTGTTATTTTTTGTACTTATTTTTAAACTTTTTAGTTTTCTGAAGCTTTAGAAGTTAGATTAAAAAAATAATAAAAGAAATAAAGCATGAAAATTTCTAGAAATCCCCTAGATATTGATTTGTAATTGTATATCAATTTTAATAAGTAAATAGCAACCCCAATCAAACAATCAAAGACAAATCAACACAACGATTTAATGTGGAAAAACCACAATTGGAGCACCTCTAATTGTGCTAAAAAAAACTATGGGCAACAGCCACAAAACAATCCACTAGGAAGATATAAAGGAATTTCACAAGTGTACTCTCAATTACCTAGCGAATCCACACCCGAATTGAATTGACCCCTATGTGCCTCTTCCAGCCCGTCTTTACCACGGAATTGCCTTGCCCAACATTGAATCCACAATACCAATGTCAAATCACAACGATGAACCACTCTAGAATCCACCAAAGTTTCAGGCCCGAATTCGACAGAATCCATCGAAGAACAACACTCTTTTGTATTGAATAAACAAATAATCCTTTGATGTATACTTCTTAAACCATGAGTTGAATACTCAATTAAACATCAAAGAAACCAAGCAAAATAACCCCTGATATAAACCCTAATATGCAAGAAGAAGATCTAGAAGTCATAACCCTAAAATATGACTGAAACACATATTTATAGCAATCTGTTCCGCGATCTCTGCTCGAGCGCAGGAAATTCCGCTCGAGCGGAAAAATACAACTCCCAAACAAGGCACAATTCTTGTTGGGTTCGCTTCTAAAACTCAAAGCCTCACTGAAATAAAAGATCGAATATAATTACAACTGAAAGGAGTTTTGTCAAATGAGATTGCTAAGAATAAAAACCTAATAATCTCCCTCTTTGGCAATGCTGTGACAAAACACACCTAACAAATAAAATCCTAATCACCCCGTCCCATTACAGCCAACATAAAGAAACTTCTTTAACAAGATCATGATCTACAAAACATCTATTAGTGCCACAATCTCCAAAATAACTATTAGTGCCACAAGAGTATATGAAAAAGCAATAGACATATGACAAGATTATCTTGAAGCATGAGATGGAAATATGAATAGATGTAAATTAGAGATTTTAAGAACATGTAACATGTAGCATGTAGCATGAATAGATGACAATCCTAAGAAACATGTAAACACGCTCAAAAACCATTTTGATTTTCCCTCAAACTTCTCCCCCTTTTTGTCATGAATTGTCAAAGAAAGCTTAATCAACGAAATCAAGAGCATAAACCACACAAGTAAGGACAAGATGATGTAATGAGTAGTAGCATGCAAGAAGGAAACAATAAAAAAGCAATGCAAAGCAACATGCAAACCAACTAAGGCCAATCTCCCTTACCAAACCAATCAATGGAAGTTCATGCTAAGAAACCCTTTGCAATGATAGACCAAACTCCCCCTTACTAAAAGCAACCACAAACATTGTATTGAAAACAATGAACAAGAAGGAGAAAAAAACAAAAATAATATGGTGGAGCAAGCAAGGAATTTCAGATTTGTACCTTAAAAACACAAAAGATTATCCAAGAAACACAATTACTTGAAAACACAATGTGCACAGTCTGTAGAAGATTCCTCATGAAAGAAAGTAATGCATTATGTGAAAAGCATAGATCCCATGATAAAGTGTATGTGTGACTCTTGGAGTTTGACAAACACAAGATTCAAATCCTAGTAGTGATCTGATAGCTGGACCTCCGGCAAGAGAATCTAAGCACAACTAAGGAAAGTCAAACCACTAGGAGTGAAGGGGTATTTTTTGAGTAAAAGCGGAGTGTGATGACCCAAAATTTTAAAAAAATATATATATATTATCACCAAACTACCTAACTTAATCATGGAAAGAGAGGAAATGAATTCTCTGCCAACCAAACAAACCAGTGGGCCTGAATAACAAAAAAAAAAAAAAAAAAAAGAAAAAAAGGAAGTGGATACTTTTATCATGAAAGGGGAACAAAAGCATACACATGGGCTGTCAAATTACACTTTCGTTGCTGCTTCGAATGCGAATCCAAATCCGAAAACAAGTCGGTTGAGATGGGGCTGATTGTTCTCAATATGCTATACACACTATAGATACATCATCAAGAGATTGGCGGGCCCAGTCATTTTATAACTATTGTGTTGCTATATATTTGATACCGAATATATTGGTTGCCATTGCTTTTTTTTATTTCCTTTTTTACAAAGATTTTTGGAGCGTTCAAACTGGTATATTGTTGTTCTTATGATGTGGTGGGCTCAGCCGAAGCTGTATGTTGGAAGAGGAATGCATGAAGGCATGTTCGCACTTCTAAAGTATACACTGTTTTGGATCATGCTACTAATAAGCAACTTAGTTTTCAGCTACTATGTGGAGAAAACAGAACCAGTGCCTTCTACATCGTTGGACAGCATTGCCAGCAGCACAACTAGAAAGGTGGCTTCAAAGACCTCTTCTTTATCACCTCAAACACCTTCAGTTACGAACGGATCAAAAGGTTGTTCTTCGACTTCATCTGTAGACAGGAGTTCTGGTTTGTCTGGTTGCCAGAAAGTGGGAACACCGGAGAGTTGGGATTCTCGTTTCTTTATGCTTCCGTAGGTGGAGATCAAAGCTGGTGATGATGTGAGGTTGGATCTTAGGGGTCACGGATTTCGAAGTCTCAATTCTAGTGGGTTGAACTTGTCACCTAATTTGGAGGTAATACAGGTGTGTGCATGGCAAATATTTGTTCACTTTTGATCATGTCTATGGGAGTACTAGTTCTCCTCCATCTGTGTGTTGCTCCATTTGTTGATGGTTTGTTCCAGGGATATAATGCTACTATTCTTGCTTATGGTCAGACGGGTTCAGGGAGTATAAACATGTAATTTGGTGGGTTGTATATATATATATATATATTATATAAATACACACATGTAATTTAGTGGGCCAAGTTAGCTTTATATGGCAAGCTATTCAAGTTGGATCGGCTGAGTTACATTTGTTAGTAGGCCACCTGTGCTAGCTGGTTGATTGCGTGTTGTTGCCTCTTGTGGTGATTCAAAATTAGATTGGTTTTTGAATGGCTCTGGTGGGGCCTGGAGCATGTGAGTTTACATGAGGTGAGGTTTGAGGAATCATATTGAAAGTCGGAGGGCTTGTCGTGATTTTCACAATGATGATCTCGGATCCATAATCGGGTGATGTAAGCATTTTCGGATTAGCTCTTCTTCAAACTTGAGGTAGGGATTTTCTTTGAGTTATATATATATTTTCCCAAGATCTAAATGATTTTCAAAATCATTCTATGATTTTCAAAATCATTCTTTGATTTGTTTTGAAAAATGGATTGTTGATTCAAGAAGGTGAATGATTTTGAAAGTGGGTTTACTTTCTTTTTCCTTCTAAAAATAGAAATTTATATTTTTGAATTATGTTGATGAAAGAAAGATGTTTTTGGTGAGATCTTCTCAAATATTTGAAGATGAATGGCTTTTGGTGAAAAAAACCTAGAAATTGGGGATTTTTAAGAAAGATGTTAAAAGTTTTTAGAATATGTTGTTATATTTATTTTGTGTGCCAAAATAAATGATGTTTGAAAATTGTTTATTTATTTACATATAAATGATGTTTTCATGGAATATAGGAATTGTTGAAGTTTTGGGAATTGTTATCTAAAAGTATTAATATAGTCTTAAGATGACTAAATTGTTAAGATTGTTGAAATGCGGGAATTATGTTGTCCCTTCGATGAATTGAAATAAAAGTATTTATTCATCTAGTGAAATTGTATTGAAATGAGAAATGAGAATTTTGATCACAATGGGAATATTGTGTGGGAGTATTGAAAGTGGAAGAAATATTGCATTATATTAGTAATCATTGCATTGGCATATCAATTCATTTGATAATGAAGAGTTTTGAAATTTGATTTGAAAACTTTGCATTTAGAAAAGAATGTTGAGAAACAAGTTTTTCATGAAATGGTTCTGGGGTAAATACGGTGGTAAGTCTTGACAGGTAGTGTGGATTATCGGTGTCGAACCTTCCAGTTGAGACTGATAAAAATGACAAATTGGTAGTACTTGTATAGTCTCCTTGCAGACACCAGCCTAGGAATTGAAAGGTGGTGTAGATGATAGGTGTCGAGCCTTCCAGTTGAGACTGGAAAAAATGACAAATTCGTAGTACTTGTATAGTTTACTTGCAGACACTGACCTAGGGATTACCAGAGTTGTATTTACCGCCCTTGAAATAAATTGTTAAGTTTTAAACAATTGAAATTGCATGACATCATTGAGCATGATGGTTTCCAAAAGATGAATGTTTTATTTTCAAAAGGGCATGGCATGTCATGTGCATTCATCTCTTGAGACTTGTATAAAATGTATATACTTTGTTAAGGATTTCCTACTAGGCTTTATGCTCACCCTACGGGATTTTTGTGCAGGAAAAGATGTGGTGATTCCGCCTAACTGAAGGCGTGGAAGTGTGTGTGTTGGGAGTACAATGCTCTTGTTTTGCGTGACTCTGTTTTGTAAGACAAGGGCTATATTTGCATGGGTTTGAATAACCGTTATGTGTAACCAGGCTTAAGCCTTGGAAACTTGTAAACCCTTTGGGGTATTTATTTGTTCATTTACTTGTTGTCGGATTAATGTAGTATCGCATGAGGAAATATTTACATTATGAAATGCAAGTGTGGGATTGTATGATTGGTTTTCCTTAAAAAGGGCCATGATTATTGTATTACCATTTGGGCATGAAAATTGGGGCGTTACACGGAGGCTCCCCCTCAATCAATGAATCTTTTTTTTTTCTTTCTTTCTTTTGCACATTTTTTTCTTTTCTTTCCTATGCACATTTTTTTCTTTCTTTTGCACACTCATTGGCGGCTGACAGGCTCAAGAGTATGGAAACCGAACCAGAGAAGCATGGATATAATAAGGATAGCTGGGTTGGTGACTCTAAGGTAGCCTTTTCCTCATGGTTGGACTACAAAGAACAGAGGGGAAAGCTGTGGAGATGGAAAAGATGGAAGGTGGTTAAGAGACTTAACATCACCCATGATGTGCTAGTATAGGTCAATTCCTCTAGCAAAGCAAAAGACACACTGCTAGAAGTCCACAGAGAAAATTGATCACAAAGGCAGAAGATTTCGATATTTGCTAATCTAAGAGAGTGTACAGAATGACACATACTAATCAAAGTACACACACTCCAAAATGAGTAAAGACTACAGAAAGCACACACATATTAATATGTAATGGATATTCTCATCAATTCCAATATGTACCAAGGACTTCTCAAAAATTTTGAGCTTGCAAAACCATACTAAGAAAAAAATTTTGGATTTTTTAAAAATAAAATAAAATAAAGCAAGATAGAAAATGAACAGACACACAATAAATGACCCAAAAAGAAAAAACAAACAAATATACAAAAACTAAAATGAATAAACAAATTAACACAAGTCAAGTTTTCTCACCCAAACCGCTTTAGTATGAACAAAGTTGTGAGAATTGCAGTTCTTGGGTGGTGTCTTGACGTTGTGGTTCCCTTCATCTTCATTGGGAACCCGTCTCAACTTGGTTTCTAACTTCCTATTCCTAATTCTAAGCAAACACAGCCTCTGTTCATGTTTGGTCTTATGCAAATCAAAAAAGCGTGGTCTAATATGACCCTTAACCTCATTACGACCAATGAAGTGTCTCCTACCCCATGAGATGTTGGAATTTCTTCCATCTCTATGAGACACTCTCTCATGCAACTCATAACAATAGGGGCGAATATGACCATACGTACCACAATGATGACACATAAAAACAGGGTGTACTTTCGTTTCTTTGACCTTACCAAATCTAGAAAGATTGAGAAGTCTTTCCTCTCGTTGTATTTTTTGTTCTACCTTTCCTTGAGTTCTTGTAACATGAGATGTGGATGCACTCCATTTTTGCTCTTTGTTATCACCAAAGCCAATGCCACTCTTGTCGTAACACATTTGTTGAGATCTAATGATATTGTCCAAAGTCTTTGATCCTTTGTTCCAAAGACCAATGGTAGCCATAGCACACTTGAGCTCTTTCTTTTTCTTGATCATTAGTTCTTCCAACGTAACTTGAGACATCTTGAGAGATTCAATCTTTTCATCATATGTTGCATAGATTTGTAGCTCATTCCTTTCTGTCTCACAAGTCAAGAGTTTTGCACAAAGAGCTTGTCGATCATTAGATATCTTGACGGCATCATTCCTAGACTCAAAAATCTCCTTCTTTAATTTGACATTCTCACTTTCATATGCTTTGAGTTTCATAAAAAGTTTGTCAATCAATTTGGATAAGTTAAGAGATTTCTTATACGATTTTTCATAAGCTTGCTTAAGCTCTTTATCATCACTCTCCGAGAATTCATCATCAGTGGCATTCTTAACCGGTCTCTTCGGATACTCTGTTCGTCCTTCAGTTTTGGAAGCCGCCATGAAAGCAAGGAATTGTTCATGCCCCTCTTCGCCTTGTGCTTCATTGTCACTTTCATCTTTATCTGATTTTGATTCATCATTCCAAGTGATAGCGAAGACTTTCTTCTTCCTCAAACAAGTAGGGCATTCTTGAGCAAAGTGGCCAAATCCTTGGCATTCATAGCATTGAACTCTTTCAAAGTTCCTTTGTATTTTTCCTTTCTCCTTCTGGGTTATAGAATTAATTTTGAATTTATCTTTACCCTTGGATTTATGAGTTAATTCCAAAAGATTAGGATTCTTTTTTAGAAAAGACTTTTTAAATTGTTTTACGAAAGCATTTGTAATCTTGAAATCAATCTCACAATCCTCATCAAAATCCTTTCCAACTGTATGAGCACCAGTAAAAGTAATATCATCTTTTTGTTTCTTTTTGAAATTTCTATGTGCTTCATAAGTTTGGAGATTTCAAACCAAATGATCCAGCTTGAGGTTGTCAACATCTTGAGCCTCCTCAATAGCTATAACTTTTGGTTGAAACCGATCGGGCAAGAATCTCAAAATTTTTCCCACAACCTTGGATTCTGGTATTTTTTCACCTAAATTGAAGCTGGAATTTACAATGTCACTCAATTTCGCATAAAATTCATCAAAGGTCTCACTATTTTTCATAGAAAGGTTTTCGAAACTAGACGTAAGCTTTTGAAGTTTTGAGCGTTTAACAAAAGGAGTGCCCGCATTAATAGTTTGTAAGATATCCCAAGCCTCTTTTGCAACTTCACAATTACAAATTCGACTAAACTCTTCAGGTGTGATGGTTCGAAAGAGAGAATTGATAGCTTTACTATTCTAGCTATTGTTTTGGTAATCAGTTGGGTCCCACTTATCAATTGGTTTGGGGAAAGTTACTCTATTAACGGTAATTGTTGGTTCAGTCCACCCATACATGACAGATTGCCAAACTTTTTCATCAATAGATTTTAAAAACAATCTCATCCGAGCTTTTCCAAAAAGAATAATTAGATCCGTCAAGTAGGGGTGGCCGAACCGTAGAATTTCCCTCACGAATTGAATCCATTATCACAAATCAAACAAGATCTCACTCCAAAAGTTAAAAAAATAAAATAAAGCGACCTACTCTGATACCTATTGAAAATTTCTAGAAATCCCCTAGATATTGATTTGTGATTATGTATCAATTTTAACGAGTAAATAACAATCCCAATCAAACAATCAAAGACAAATGAACACAACGATTTAACGTGGAAAAACCAAAATTGGAGCGCCTCTAATTGTGATAAAAAAAACCATAAGCAACAGCCACAAAACAATCCACTAGGAAGATATAAAGGAATTACACAATTGTACTCTCAATTACCTAGCGAATCCACGCCCGAATTGAATCGACCCTGATATGCCTCTTCAAGCCCCATCTTCACCTCAGAATTGTCTTTCCCAATGTTGAATCCACAATGCCGATGTCAAATCACAACGATGAGCCACTCCGGAATCCACCAAAGTTTCAGGCCCAAATTCGACGGAATCCACCAAAGAACAACACTATCTTTTGCGTTGAATAAACAAACAATCCTTCGATGTATACTTCTTAAACCATGAGTTGAATACGCAATTAAACATCAAAGAAACCAAGCAAAATAACCCTAGATACAAACCCTAATATCCAAGAAGAAGATCTGGAAGCCGTGACCCTAAAATCTGACTGAAACACATATTTATAACAATCTGTTTTGCGATCTCCGCTTGAGCGGACTGACGCTCGAGCAGAGGAAATTCTGCTCAAGCAGAAAAATGCAACTCCCAGGCAAGGCACAATTCGGGTTCAATTCACATCTAAACTCAAAGCCTCACTAAAATAAAAGATCGAATATAATTACAACTAAAAGGAGATTTGTCAAACGGGGTTGCCAAGAATAAAAACCTAACAAAGCACTTACGTTCTTTCCACTAAACACGTTCTCCAACCCAATAGTTCCATACTACTCTAGACTTCTTCTCTTCCATAATAAGTTACTTTCATCCTTAATTTATTTATTTTTGATTTCTTCCTCTTTTTAAAACGTTGTGCAGTTCCTATCTAAAAAAGATTAATTTATTGTGCAGTTTTAATTCACTTTCACCATCTTTACTTCTTTCTATTCATAGTAAAATATCACTTCTCTATTCAAAAACATTGCAATCTTATGGTTAAGTTACAAATTGGTGAAGTGGTTATGCAAAGTATATATCTACTACTGCTTATCCTATGTTGTAAGTGTAATATTTGTTAATTATACTTTTTATTTTATTCATTCAAAAGTACCATTATGGTATCAAGTTCTTTGCGAAGAAAAGAAAAAATCAGAATGGACAAAATCTGATATGATGTGATCAAACTTTGGCTCCTTGTACTAGCTATGCAAATAACCGGTACATCGACATGGTAGGGAATATGGGATTTCAACTTCTTGACAGACATTTTCAGTTGGCCAAGTTCGTTAGTATCACTCCCTCCTCTTGTTTTGAGCTCCTCAAATTTCTCACAAGCCTAGTTGATTTGCACATTCATATGATCTACAAACTTCTAAATCCGTGTCATGGTCTCTTTCATGAAATTAAGATCTCCACCAATCATGTTAGTGAGATCAGGATCTACAACTTGGTAGTCGTTGTTGTTGTTTGTGGCGGTGGTAGCTTTGTGGTGATGGTTATTAAGTGGATTTGGCTGAAAGATACTACTGTCCATGGCTTTGAAAGGAACTACTACCAAAACAGGGTCGTGTTGGAGTCTTGGCTAGAGAGAGAGAGAGAGAGAGAGAGAGGACAGGTTTTTTCTTTGATGGTTTGGTCTAGGTTTCAAAGAGAAAAATGGATCATGATAGAGAAGAAACGTTGTGACACCATAACTTGAAGCGGTACATCGACTTGGTAGGGAATATGGGATTTCAACTTCTTGACAGACATTTTCAGTTGGCCAAGTTCGTTAGTATCACTCCCTCCTCTTGCTTTGAGCTCCTCAAATTTCTCACAAGCTTGGTTGATTAGCACATTCATATGATCTACAAACTTCTAAATCCATGTCATGGTCTCTTTCATGAAATTAAGATCTCCACCAATCATGTTAGTGAGATCAGGATCTACAACTTGGTAGTCGTTGTTGTTGTTTGTGGCGGTGGTAGCTTTGTGGTAGTGGTTGTTAAGTGGATTTGGTTGGGAGATACTACTGTCCATGGCTTTGAAAAGAACTACTACCAAAACAGGGTCATGTTGGAGTCTTGGCTAGAGAAAGAGAGAGAGAGAGGACAGGTTTTTTCTTTGATGGTTTGGTCTAGGTTTCAAAGAGAAAAATGGATCATGATAGAGAAG